TAATGCATGGCCCCATGGTGCAAGGATCTGTACACAATTCCTGGAAGCTGAAAACATCCCAGTTCTTACATGCCCAGCATACTCACCGGACATGTTACCCGCTGAGAATGTTTGGGATGCTCTGGATCGACGTATACGACAGCGTGTTCCAGTTCCTGCCAATATCCAGCAACGGCACAGCCATTGAAGAGGAGTGGACCAACATTCCACAGGCCACAATCAACAACCTGATCAACTCTGTGCGAAGGAGATGTGTTGCACTGCGTGAGGCAAATGGTGGTCACACCAGATACTGACTGGTTTTTGGACCCCCCCGGACCCCCAATACAGTAAAACTGCACATTTTAGAGCGGCCTTTTATTGTGGCCAGCCTAAGGCACACCTGTGCAATAATCATGCTGTCTAATCAGCATCTTGATATGCCACTCCTGTGAGGTGGATGGATTATCTCGGCAAAGGAGAAGTGCTCACTAACACCAATTTTAGACAGATTTGTGAACAATATTTGAGAGAAATAGGCCTTATGTGTACATAGAAAAAGTCTTAGATCTTTGAGTTCAGCTCATGACAAATGGGGGCAAAAACAAAAGTGTTGCGTTTATAATTTTGTTCAGTGTATATATATATCACATTTTTTATTATTTTTAATACTTAGGCTCTCTTAACCTCTAAAGTAATTGTATCTATTTAATTTACTGTAGGTGTGGAACTTCCAAGAATTAATTACAATTTCAATGGAAAGAAGTACAGATATTGTTATTTGTGTTGTGTGGACATATCCCCGGTGGCCAAAAAGGTATTGACTGTTTTCATTTTTACAGTACGTTTATGAACTTGGCAAAATTTCAAGGTAAATACATTCCATAAGAATCAAACCCATGACCTTGGCTTGGCAGTGTTAGTGGCATTTTCTACCAGTTTTTGTGACTCAGTACTGAGCACTCGCTATTTTGTACAGATTGTGAAGTTTGACGCTGAGACAAAGCAGCAGATTGAGTGGACTGGAGGAGACGGTTTTGCCTCAGAGCCTGTTTTCATTCCCAGGCCCGATGCAGTTGATGAAGATGATGGTAATTTACTGTCTTACATAATAAATAATGTGTGTGACGTTTGTGCTTTTGACCAAAACAATCACATTCAGCTGGATCATATCATCAGGAAAAAAATTTGTGTAAATTAATTTTCATTTTATGCTTTTATACATTTTTAACTTGACTTGTCTTAACATTAAACTGTTTGCTTTCTCTTTTCTCAATTTTTAGGTGTAGTCCTGACAAGTGTCATAAACGCCAAACCAGCGCAGGGTGGCTTTCTACTGGTGCTTGATGGCAAGTCTTTCAAAGAGATTGCCCGGGCATGTATAGATGTAGATTTTCACATGGACATGCATGGCTACTTCATACCGGACAACAGTTAAGAGTTTGATGTCTGCCAGCTGTATAGGCATAAAAACCGAAATTGAGAATCTCCTGTAAATGTTGGGATTTTGATAATCTGGTTACAAAGCTGTCAAAGACATATTGTATGAAGTTGCGTTTTATGACTGACCATATACAGTTGTTTGCAGAAGAAACCAGGACGAGCTCCGAACCATGAAAATGTTTCTACACATGATTTCTTGTTTGGAAATAAAATATGTACATGTATAAATTGTAACAGTTTAAAAGGTCATTAATTGCATTTAGTTCAAACAGAAACATGTGAACTGTATTTGTTTGCTTGCATACAGAAATCATAAAGTGATGTTATTTCTGTCATTATAGTTAGAGCCAGTGTTAGTACAGTATAGTACTATATAGCCAATGCTGAAGTGCATTTAAAATACTGTACATTAAAAATACAAGAAGGCTACATCTTTTTAGTACAATGTTACTGCGCTTTATTGTTGGCTTCAAGTCAATAAAAATTAAGGAAATAATCAAAAAGTTGAAAATAAAGTATTGGGTAGGGTTAGGGTAGGTTTAGGGAGGGCTTTATTGTACCGATAAGGTGACATCCATTTAATAATAAAAATTTAAATTATAATTTACACTCAATACGTTATTATTGCATACTGTTTTATAATGTACTACAATACTGAAGTGCAGATAATTGAGATTTGAAAAGTGAGGGAAAAAAAAGTTAGGCAAAAGACGGGATCGAACCCGGGTCGATCGCGTCAAAAAGCCAACGACCCGCGTTTATCCATCTGCTCCACTGGAGCTGATGCTTTACAGCCACTTTTTACTAAATGTAAATAGACACCCCGTATTTTTTATTCCAGAGTAAGGGCAATTCATACAATACATTTAAACTGAGCTACTTTAATACCATCTCCGAACTTTCTACCACGACTCTGCTGTTCTTCGGCTGGTTCTTCCTGTATACGTTGATTGACAGATGTCTCGTCCAGTCAGCGGTGAGTAATCCCAAACCAATGGCGCTGTCTCAAACTATACCTACCTCTTCCGGTTTGTCTGATTTGTCGTTGTGTTTTCTGACTTGTT